CCGCCAGCGCAGCCGAGGTTCCCGCCCGGGTCTCTCCCTCTACACCTCCCTGCAAGCAGAGGGAGGCGGCTCCGGCCTCAGCCAGCCCAGAGAGGGGCTCCCACGGTGCCGCAGCGGGCTGAAGGGCTCCTCAAGTGCCGCTAGTGTGGACGCCGAGGCCGAGGAGGCGCTGAGAGTGAGGGCTGCTAGCGCATTGTCACCTGTCAACATGTCTGAGTGCCCGCCTGGGAGATCCTATGCCCCACCCCAACTGATAACCACTAGCTGAGTTGCCTAGTTCTAACATTCCTCCTGGCACCCTGCACCCCTTTCCCTGGAGTGTGAGGGCACCATAAGTCAAGCTCGTCCTCTTGGCCACTGCTTCTGATGGTTTGAGAAGGTCACGCATGAAGGAGGCCCTGCTGTGCAGCAGTCTCCTGCCCAGATGCAGGTTTCCAGGGCTGGTTTAGCCACCTACCTTCCTTCCTCACCACTGGCTGGTTGATTTCAGCATGGTTCCCAAATCCTTGCTGGCCAAAGAGCATGTGGACCAGAAGAGATGAAATGCTCTGATCCCTTTCTTGATACTCTGTTCTCCTGTGGCTCTGAGTTGAAAGAGGAGATTTAAGTCTTGTGTCCCTTTTGCACAACAACTTACTTATAGTCTAACTGGCCCCTTTCTTCAGGAGTTTAAAGTGAAATTAGAAAAAGTATTGTTGATCTTTAGATAACAGGACATTATTTGGGGGCTAAATCAGGTAGAGGTAATTAATAGCTGTGAAGGTTTTTAATGAGGCCTGGATTCTGCTTCCGGAACTCTGTATGTAGATCTCATTACAGTTGTAAGGTGAATATATTTAACTCTTTTTTTTTTCTGATAAAAGTATAGCCAGGTATTAGTAACTCTGGCTATGGAGTCTGGCAGAGTGCACCTCCTTCTGTCATTTATTAGCTGCATGATATCATGTGAATTACTAAACCTCTTATGGTCTAGTTTCTCATTTCAAAATGGAGAAAATAAAATCTATCTTGCAGAGGACTGCTATGAGAACTAAACAAAACAATGTCACAAGGTAACTAATACGATGCCTCACAAATGGTAAGTATATAACTAAGTATTATTATTAAGAAGAAGAGTTTATAAAGAAGCAAAAATTAGGCTGGGTGTGGTGGCTCACGCCTGTAATCCTGGCACTTTGGGAGGCTGAGGTGGGTGGATCACCTGAGGTCAGGAGTTTGAGACAATATGAGTTTGAGACAGTTGGTCAGGAGCCTGACCAATGTGATGAAACCCTGTCTCTACTAAAAATACAAAAATTAGCCGGGCATGGTAGCATGTGCTTGTAATCTCAGCTACTCTTGAGGCTGAGACAGGAGGATTGCTTGAACCTGGAAGGCAGAGGTTGTGGTGAGCTGAGATTGCGTCATTGCACTCCAGCCTGGGAAATAAGAGTGAAACTCTGTCTTAAATAAATAAATAAGCAAAAATTTTAAGCCCCCAGGATGGGCTTTAATTACAGCAAGATGGGCCAAAGTTGGCTCTGAAAGAAACTTTTGAGAGGTGTATATTGTTTGACCTTGGGACAAAGAGTAAGAATATCTGGAATACTGGGAAATCTTCAGGAATGTATAACCTATTCTATCAAAAGTAGTTCTGCCTATGCCTGACCAGACAGAGGGAGAGGGATTAGGTTAGTGTTTTTTCAGACTTCAGGCTGTATGTGTGTGTGTGTTTGTGATTGCTGCATGCTCAGCTGCTAGTACACATCAGATGGGCACAGGCATGTGCCAGGCAGGTGTGCTTGTGTCTTGGCTGACCTCTAATTGAGTATGGCTCAAGCAGCCCCTGATCAAGGGTGAGCTTGTGCAATTTTACCTGAGTGGATGTGTATAGAACTGACTTTTAAAAATAACTAGTGCAGAAATTTTTCTCCCTAATTAGGCCACATTTACAAGAAGAAACTTGTATATGTCCAAGTATGACCAAAGACACTGGATTCAGAAGTCTACAAATAGACAAGAAACCTACCAGCAAAAATGGGCATTTTGAGATATTAACATTTGGAACATGATACCTCAGCAATAAGTGGAATTTGGAAGAGTCGGACCTGAGTAGGGCCCACAAGATTAACCTCAGTGCCACAGAGTAATCGCAGAACTAGGCAGAGAAGGCACTCATAATTTTGGAGTGCGTGAATAGTGGGAATAGTTGAGAGACCATGATATGCCCTGAGATCCTGGAGTGGATATTAGCCTGCTTATAAGGGCTGTATGCTGATGTTTGAAGATCATTGCTGAAGGTGGACAACAGCTGTCTCAACAGATGCTGAGGCAGACCTTGCTTTTAGAGCTGGACTTCATTTCTTCCTATTATTAAGGGGCATTATTCAAACACAAGGTATAGATTGGCATTTCTGCCTTGATTGGGATATTTGTGATGGAAAAACAGGTGGAGGGAGAAAAACGGTTAGGAAGATCAAAGAATGAAAAAGAAAGAAATAGATGAATGAAAACTCAATATAAAATTTAATTGGAAGTGCTCTGAGCAGTTACAGGTTTCACACTCAAAAATAGGACTGCCGAGACAGTGAGAGCCCAAAGAGTGGCAAGGACCGGGGCAAAGTCCATGAAAGAAAGAGAAAAACCAAAAACAGAAACAAAACTCTTTCGCCACACTCAAAACGAGCTGGGGTGTGCTCAAAGCTAACATGGAAAGACATGCATAATGCCAACTTGGGCACAGTCACAAACTTCTTAGATTCCAGTGAAATCATCAAAATGCTTCAAGAAGGTAGTTTGAACACAAATTAAAGGGAACATTTCTTTTCATTCTATTAAATTATGTGGAACATGAGGTGGTTATGGATTGAAGTTATTACTGGGACTAATGGATAGAATTTACATGGAGGCAGGTTTAGCAGGAAATTTATCATTAAGAAACTGTCCAGCAATGAGGCAGACTTCTTTAGACATCTTCAGCTCCTGGTCATTGAAAGTGACCCATCAGGCAGGTGGTGACAGTGATTTCTGCACCGGGTCAACGGCTGAACCAAAGACCTTGCAATTCTCCGTTTAATTCTTAGGTTTAATATTTTTAGAATCAAGAAAGACTTAGATAAATTCTTACGTGGCAGATCCCATTACAGGTTGTTACTGGAGACTGAAATATGGTATAATACACATTTATGAAATAAGGTCAGGGAGGAAGGAAGGGAAAAAGAAAGGGCACTAACCTGGATTGTGCTTGGACCTGTGCTGAAATTCGTATTGTCTTATTTAATCCTGGAAATTATCCTTTGAAGTAGGCGCAATTAGCTTCAGTGTTACAGATAAGGAAAAAGACGGTCAGAGAGGCTAAGTGACTTGTCTGAGGTGACACAGGAGCACAGATGGATTTTTTTTTTGCCTAATCTTTCTAAAGCCTAGTGCAAGCTCTCCCTGCCATGCCATGTGCCTCCTGAGTGCCCTAGGCTGGTATTCTCCTGCATGCTGCTGTCCAACTTGGCTCTGGTTATATGGTTTTTGGGCTTGAAGTCGTGCGACCTACCTTATTTTCTACTGTTATCTAAAGGAACACCCATCTCCAGGCAGGATGGCATAGTGGTTAGTGAATTGAAGTGGAAGTAAGAATGCATTGGCCGTTTTCCTCTTCTGTAAACTGCAAAATGAATACAACTCTCTCCACTCATGCCCTCAACAAATATGTCACCAAAAATTCGTCATTACGTCATGTTCTATTATTTATACGTTTTTGGTAAAGCATTTTGACTTGGGAATCAGAAAACAAGATTCTTGTCCCCGGACCAGCTTTTTATTCCTGCAGAGCCTCCATTGCTTTATTTTAAAAACACAGAAAAAAAAGGAAAAGCTAAATTATCTCTAAGGTCTTTTAAGTTATATATATTTATGTGACATACAATAATTATATATAAATTATGTGTGTAAATCTGTATGTATATGTATATATACTTATGTTAACAGTTAAATCAACATCTACTTATCTACACTAATATCATCAACAGTGATGTAATTGTCCAATAATCCAAAAACAGAAAATAGTTTAAAATCCAGTGTTTCGTTTTGGAGTGCATAATTTAGTGATCTTACTGTAGATTTACTTAAAATAAGGATAGAAAAAAATGTTTTTTCCTAGTAACATCATATTTGGTTGATGCAAGTAAGACATCCAGGAGCATTAAAGGAAATTCACTTGGGTTGAAACAAAATCCTCTGCAGATTAATGGCCACCAGCTGAGATCTGACTACAGTTCATGTGGAGGCTGGCATCAGACAGGCCCAAGTTTGGGTCCTGACTCTTACATTCCCTGACTAGAATAATCTTAGGCAGGTTATTTAACTTTTTGGAGTCTCAGTTTCCTTATTGGAAAGTGGAGATAATAGTACCTATCTCTCAGGATTGTTGAGGGCAAGAATCGTGCAAGTATGAGGCCTGACACAGGTTTTTGGTGCTTCACAGATGGTAGCCATATTGTCATGCAAGACCTTCCTGGTCATCCACACTCCTGCCCTCAAGAGCAAGGTCAGTCTTGCTTCTCTTGGGTCAGCATGCTGTCCGAGAGTGCAGAGGCGTTTGCCAACTATTCGCATGAGGGGCAAGGACATCTTGACTATAGAAATGAAAGTCTCTAAAATGTGGCCCCTGGAAGAGCCATTCCCATTGCTTTCCACCATGCTCATCCCTGTGAATTAGTCCCCAGTCACCAAACTTTAGCTGCCTCCTGCTATAGCAGGCCAATGCCTGGAGTACCATGGCCAGCTCTCCAGCTAGGAGGGGGTTAAAACCAACATTTGCAGATAAAGAGGTAAACATATTTACATTCCTCTCTTCACACTTTATGCATATGTCATGCAGTGAATAGTTTTAGAGGTCTGTTTGTACTCTCTCTCCAGAATTTTTACAGTCTGGAGGACACAAAATCTCTATAAAGTGACTTATTGAAATAGAAGCAGATTGGTAAAACCGTTTCCCTCTTATGAACTGTGAAGAATGATCCTCTAAATGAAATCAGGAAGGAACTGGACAGAATCTTGTTTAATGGTCTGACAAAATGAATCACAACGATTCCAGACATCCATCACTGCTAAAAGGGGACCACAAATGATCTGTGAACCACTATATATTGATTACCCATGTAGTACAAGTGTCGGATTTAATGTTCACACACCATAGAGAGGCGGCAGGGACAGATGGTGCCTTAACTCTTCTTTGATAGATTTTAATGGTGAAATATTGATTTCTATCTGGCCAAGGCCTGCTGTTAGGGGCCAAAGTCATTTGTTGGGTATTGCCGGACACCCAGTTGGCCCAGCGTAATCAATCATTTTTGGCAAGGCAGGTGAAAATCCAGAGAGAAGCACCTTGGAACCCAAACTGGAGCGTGATGTGTCTAAGTCCAGCCACCTAGAGAAAGAGAGAGAGAGAGGACTCTTGGAGATTGTGCTTGTAAAGAATTATTAATGATAAGACATGTTTACTGAGGAGAGTCGCAGCGAATCAGAGCTGACATGAAATAGTCTGGGAGCCTCGTGGAGAAAATGAGCCTCTTGCTAAGAGGGACTATATTTTATTTAAACATCCTTCTAAGGCTGAGAACTCAGGTAATCTGTTGTGTTACAAGCCACTGGCTGTTCTTGCTATCCAGAGAGATAACACTGAGGCGCTAATAGGAACACATCAATCACAATCAGGCTGCAATTCCAGCGGTGTCTCGTCCTCCCAGCTCCTCTTTAAGCTCCTTAATAATGGTGATAACATAGTTCGGGGGCTGCTGAGAGGGGCTCTCCCCTCTGAGGGTCATATTCATAAAGTGAATAGCTTGCCAAGTCAGCATCCAGGGAACGGGATCTATGCTGGGGGACTTGTGTGCAGAAGGAGAGGGAGGGACATGGACCAGCTGGGGAGAGTTGGACTCCAACAGGAGAATTTTCTGTCATCTGTTGGTCCCTGGGTTTTGTGATGTCACTCCTGCCTCCTTCCTAAGAAAGGGCTGTGAGTGTGCATATTATATGTAATTATTAAATAACAACAATCATTTTCTTGGGCAGCTTATAAAATGGTTTAGAGGGCAATTCCCAGATGGAACCCTCAACGTATTCTGAGTGATGACAACCTCATGGGAATAAGTGTGTGGCTTCCCTAGAAGATTCTGGTGCAAGATATGTCAGGAGGGTAGGGATGGATGGGGGAAGGGGCCCTCCTAGTCTCTGCAGCTCTGTGTCAGCCTCTAACCTCTCACCCTCAAGGTTAAGCATCTATTCGCTTGTTTGACTCCTCCATAGGTGATGAGTTCTTGAGGGTGGCCATTGTGTCTAATTAATTATTGTATCCTCAGTACCCTAGCATGTGGCCTAGGGACTCACAAGATGCTCAATACATGAATATACAAGTGCAGGCAGGTGTTTATGTTAAAAAGAAGTCAGACATACTTCCTTGCACCTTTTGACTGTTCACACGAACATGTGTGTGTTATGCATGTACATAAACATATACATTCATAATGGAATGCACTGACCTTGTGAAGACTTGCAACACATTTTATATCTACTTGTGTGATTTACTTTTTATGAAACAGCATAACTTAATGGGTAACAGACTGGACTCTAGAGCCAGACTGCTTGGATTCAAATCCTGGCTCCACCACTTATTAGAAGATGACTTTGGGCAGCTGCTTCAAACTTTTGTGCCTTAGTTATCTCATCTGTAAAGTGGGGATAATAACAGTACCTATGTTCTGAGGATTAAATGAGTTATTAGATGTGAAGCTTTAATAGCAGTTTCCTGCAAACATAAGTATAAATATTTTATGTTATATATTATGCTTAAATTATATATCTAGCCATGGCATTATATTCAAAATATTTACATAAATGAATGCATGTGTGTGTGTGTGTGTGTGTGTGTGTGCATGGAAAGTCTTTACATGGTTGGCATTAGGAATCCTAACAAATATTTGCCTTGTTCTCTTTGATATAGCAAACCTGCGCTTAGAGCAGTACGTTTATCTTGGTGGCGCTTTGGTGGGACAGTGGATATTTTGATTCGTGGTAAATTTGTGCACTCTCACGCTATTTCATGTTGGGGCGTCAGTGGTCTGTACACTTGCTTGACTGTATTTATCTACCAAAAACCTGTGCACAAGTGTGTGTCTCTAGCTAAACAAGTGTATATATTGGTACTCTTATACAAAGGCGCTGCAGGACAGGAGGAGCCCAGCTTTGTGGACGGCCCAGCTGTGCAACCTGCCCCCAGATGTGAGCCTGCAGGCGGCAGATTCCGCTTAGATTATCTTGCTTACCTAATGATTTTTGCTTCACTGCCTTGCTCGATTGTGTTCACCAGGACGGCAGGCTATTAAAATGTCAAGGCACATTGAATTGTTGTTATCCAGGAGAGAGACCTTTCCAATCAACCTGTGTTGTGGGGGTTGCAAAAACTCCCTCAGAGAAGGCGATTGGAGAGAGCCTTTATGGCTTTTTTACATAGATGGGGGTGAGCAGGGAGGTTGAGAGAGGGCACGGCGGGGGCTGGGGGTGGGGGGGCCGGTGGGGCGTGGGTGGAGAGGTGGGGCAGGAGCCCGGGTTTATGGCAGCTGGAGTGTGCTAATTAAAATGCCATCTTCTCAAACAGGTATTGGTGGCTTCTTGGCTTTGCATTTATGGATAACTGCAATATGACCTTGCTGTTTGGTTTAAAAAAGGGAGAGGGGGAGGTGACTCACAGCAGGCAGTGGCGGTGGGAGCTGCAGTGCTGAGGATCAGGGTGGGGTATAAGGAGCAATTGTAAGGCAGAAACACCAAGGAGTTATATCCCTGGTGTATTGGCAGGAAGGGCTAGAGAAAAAAACAAAAACAAAGATTTCCTTGGCCCTGCGCCTGTTCAGACTCTGCTAAGAGCCACGTTCCTGCATGAAGGCATTGGCGGGCCTTTCTGGGTGACAGTGTTGAGCCGAGGCTGCAGTGTCACCAAGCGGCACCTCGGCCCCGCCCCCGCCTGCGCCAGCTAGGACAGTCTGGAGACCCTCTTTTCATGCCGTCAAGTCTCATTTTGCCAAGGATTTATTTTTCTTCGGGGAGAGAGGGAGAACGGGGGCAAAGGACGTTCTCTTAAAGTACCCACCGTTCAGAGCCGTTGAAGGCTCCAACCAGAAACTCAAACTTTCCTAGATTGACTTTTCCCCTTTGTTCACATCATCTCACAAATATTTGGCTTTCCCCGGCCACGTCTGTTCCATTTCTGCTTCGGAGAGATGGCTTTGTTTTTGCTTGCGTGCAGTTCTACGAGGCGTTCCACGATCCCGCCCCCTAGCAGGGCAGGATGTACCGGCGGTGCGAACACCGCGGCAGTGGGGCTGCGGCGCGCTCTCGCCTTTGTCAGTTTCATCAGCCGGAGTTTCAGCTGCGCGCGCGCATGCGCCCGTCCACCCCTCTGCCAGTTCCGGGCTTGCGTCCCCGCCAGTCTCCCGCGCCCGTAGATTCTCAAGTTCCTCGCCCTTCTATCCCGCGCTGCAACCTCCCCTGCTCACCACTTTATTTTCTCGTTGTTGGCGCAGCCCGTTCTTCCGGCCTAAACCAAATCTGATTTACTGGTTCCCCGCCTCCTCCCTCCTTCTCGTGGCTGGATTTTGGCAGAGTATCTCCCTGTAGGGCTACCTCAGATCCCTCAGCCTTGGATCCTTCCATGGGCCATGCTCCCGGAATGTCACTGGCCAGCGAGACCTGCTTCGGTCTGTTTTCCCCATCTTTTATCCGAAGACTTCTACCCACCCCCCTACCCGCTGCACGCAGTCCGGCGCCCTTTGGGAATCTTTGGACGGGATGCTCCCTCCTTCTGCTTCCCTAGTAGGGTGAGGGCCCCACATTTGAGTTCCCAGGACACTTTTTTCTTCCTTATAGCTTTAGAATGCTTTGTTGAAAATGTACGTACTTGTCTTGAATAAAATTGGTTTATTTATTTAATCAACACATATTTATTGAGCATCTACTATGTTTAAGTATTAACCTGTTGTTAAATGTTGGGGATATACTGGGAAGAAAAACAGACACCTCTCAGCCTCCCATGGCCTATAAGAGATTCTCTCTGGGTGGAGGGCCATGCAGTATTTGTTTCTGTAGCCTGGAACATATAGTTGCTCAATAAATTTCAAATGGACGAAGGAAAGAAACAAATCCTTTCCCCCTCCTGAGCAACCCCGCGTTTTCTATGTGCTGTATCATAATGAACAAACACAAGTTCACTGTGATGAGGTTGGTAGATTTGTCTCAAATTCCTGTATGTTCGTTTTCTCCCCCTCTCCTGCTGACGGTCTTCAAAGCCACCAGGTGGTTTTGCTCCAGGTCTAGTGCTGCATTTTATTAAGGCTCAGATAGGACAGTGTCAAATATCAAGTGTTTGATTGGTGATGGAGACCAGAACAGACTTGACCTTGGGCCTCCACAGTCCTAGTCCATGGCTCCCTAAATGACACAAGGCTTGCCTGTCCTTGTCTCCTGTGCCTGCCACATGCCCCCCAGCCAGAATCTCAAGAAAATGTTAAAGCAGGCTTGTACCTAGTTTCCATTAAATTCTCTTCTAGTTTCTTCCTGGACTCTATCTGGCACTGCTTAAGAGGGAGATTGATTTAATGGATATTAAGACATGATTTCCTTTCTTAGCTTCCCCGTTAGCCCCTACCCTTGCCCTCAATTATCTGTATGAAGCACAGTAGGCTCAGCTCTATCTTAATTGGATTTTCGGACAATCACCAGTAACTTGGAGCTGAGTGCTATGCCCATCACCTAGGTCAGTTCATTTCCATGATTAGATTTATTTAATTAACATAACCCCCATGTACCTGGGCTGAGAGGACAGAGAGCTGCCCAAATGTTCCCTGGACATTGTGCTAATGGCAGACTTGATTTCATGCCAGCAACCTTAGCCTCAGTCAGAGCTGGCATTTGAAATCCTCGCTGTGGTGGCGAGGCTAGGGCTTTGGGGCCCCAGGGGGTGCTGCAATGATCCAATAGCCCGACACAGGGGGAAGACGAAGAGGGGCATTGGAGGGACTGATTCACCAGCAGCAAAGGACAGCTCTGCGTCTCCTGTGGTGCACTGGGGGCAGCATGGTTTCCATCATATATCACCTGGGTCTTTTGGCTTCCATCTATCTCTCTAAGTTCCTTATCTGTAAAATGGGAATAGTAATGATCACAAGATTGCTATAAGGACTCAATGAGATAAGGTTTATAAAGTGACCATCTCAATGCCTTGCGCAGAGTGCACCCCACCCCTGTATGTCTCTGTCTGATGTAAGTGCACACACGCGCGTGCGCGCACACACACACTCACAAGCTGCTTCATACTGGCTGGGATCCTCTTCATTCTTTCACTTCCATCTCATCTTTTGCAATATTCCTGTATTGTCTTCTTCCTTTCCCTGCATGTCCTTTCTTCTTGCTCCCTGTCTCTCATTCCCTCTTCTCATTTGGCTGCACTTCCCTATCCTTACGAAGTTTTCTCCTTTGCGCCCTGCCCCTAATGGGTCCTGTGATCTGGGCAGTTGCTCCTCTGTCTCTCCAGGAGCACTTGTCCTAGCTGGGTTATTCTGTCCTGCAGTCATTTACTTCCAAGTCTGTCCCACCATGAGACTCTGGGCCCCTTGAGGCAGGGACTGTGGCTTAAGTCGGCTAGCAAATAGAGGAGACTTGATGTGGTGGGGTGGAAGGAGGCAAGGACTCTTTTTATGATTCAAAGTCAGTCTTATAAACTCCGAAGAAGCACCTGACCACCACTAGTTCCTATGTGGTTTATGAAAATTAAAGAGGCCCCTCCTTCCTCCCGCCAGGGAGTCTGGCTAGCTGCGTGGAGGATGGGCCGGGCTTTGGCCCTCATTTGCTTCCTTGGTTCAGGGCCTATGCATAGGGCATACTCCATAGCTGTATGAATCATGCTGTAGAGTAGCCGAGGATGCAGACATGGGCTGCCTGGGCACTGGCCACTTGCTCCTTGAAGTAGACCAGGCTTCTGCTTTTAAAGGAGTCCCTGCCATCAAGCTCCTCCTTGGTCATGTAGCTACTTCCCACCGAGGCTCAGTGGGATGTGGGTAGCTGCCACCCAGTGAGACAAAGCTGCCTGCAGCCCCGTGGACATGCAGTCATATGGCAGTGGTTGTTGCCTTCAAGTCAGTAGAAGGGAAGAGTGCCTCCTTCTTCATGTGCCCTGAAGCTGCCCCCATAGAATGACTTTTCTGCTTTAGTATTTCCCTTGAGGTGATTGTGGAGAAAGGCGATCATCTGTCCAGCTTCTTTTATTAAGTGCCCACTACATCAGGTACCGTGCAAAAGTTCTTTGTTCTTCACAAATCTCCAGGAAGTAGGCAGAGTCTCCTCACTTCACAGATACGGAAATCAAGGCTCAGAGGAAAAAAGTAAGAGTGGAAGATTCTTTCCAGCACTCTGTTCTCCTCATTTCCAGGGATGGCACCGACCTCTGGGGTCTCTGAAGATCCTCTTAGGTATCTGTCAGGCTTCAGCCGTTAGGTTGGAAGGGGCACCTCTGAGTTGGGTGAGAGATATGGCTTGAGAGACTGGCTGGGTTACGGCTTTGTTTGGCCAGAGCTTGGGCCATATCAAAACCATATAGACACTGGCCTGCTAGAAAAGAGTCCCTTTTCTCCTTGCCAAAGAATGACCAAAAAAAGAGAGATTGAAACACTGAGCTCCCGGGAGGCCACGCACATTTGGAGTCACTTCTGTTAATATAGCTTGTAAAAATATAAAACACATTTGTCACTATTTTAGAAGCAAAGAGGCAGAAAAGGTCATATTTTCATCTCTTCAAGTTTCCAATAATAGAATGAAGTTTTGGAGTTTTTTTGTTTCCTGCTCTTTCAATAAGTCTCAATGCTCTCGAATTACTAGTATTTCCATGATTTCCCGAAATTTCAGTCTTTCACCCCCCCACTGAGGGCTGGTGTTTACCACAGCCTCAGGCTGGGCTCTATCAGTTTGCTGGCAAGTGACTTCTTAGAGAACTTTAAAAAATCCGTTAGGAATGGCAGGCTTGTAGGGATTGAGGAATGGCGGAGGTGAGCATACTCCACAAACTTACACAGAAAACACAGGACAGACCCAGGTTTAAAAGACTGTCCGGTCACTTATGAGGCAATTCCTGAATCTGCCCCAGCCTCGGTTTTTGCATCTGTAAAATGGCCGTGACTGTGAATGTATCACAGGGACACTTGGAGGAATGAATGAAATCACACAGGTGAAGAGCATGGGGCATTACTTGGACCATATCGGGCTTTCCCTAGATGTTGTTTAACTTTCCTTTCCAGTTATTCTAGTCACATTGATCATCTCTCTAGGGTGCTCCTTTGTGACACTTGCTTGACTTAGTTCCAGGAAATTACTAGTTCTATGCTTAACGATGAAATTTTCATTTACATGCATTTGTCTTAGACTCCCCACTTTCAAGTGGGGTTCCATCAAGGATTTAAATTGGCTTTGAATTTCTGCCATTGGGGTGGGCATCCTGGGTATTGCGTCTGTCTTTGAGGTTTCTTTTTGAAGTGACTGCCGGTCACAGGGAATGGAGGTTCTTTATTTGTATTTCATGCCATGTGGCCACTAGATGCCCGTGTCTTTTAATTACGCAGGACCACGGTAAACCTTTGACAAAAGGCAGTTTTGCTTGGTGGTTACAAGCAGCGAAACCTGATCTCAGCCTAGCCTCTGTCACTAAGTGTTTACTCATTGATGAGTTGCTCAATCTCTGAGACTCAACATTTCCACTGGTACAATGGGGATAATGAAAATCATCTCCCAGGATTATTTAGAGGAGACCACAAGATCATAGATGCAAAGAATTAGCCCAGGGCCTGGTATAGAGCAAGTGCCCAGCAACCTATAGCTATTATTATTTGTGGTTGATATATTTATCCCTAAAGTGCAAAGGGTATCTATCTATCCACCTATCTGTCTATCTATCTATCTATCAATCATCTACCTACCTACCTTGTTAAACATTACTAGCCATTTCCATTATAATCCTCCTAAGAGACCATTTATGAAACAACGGCTTCAACAACTGAGCAAAAGTCGTGCTGCAGCCAAATCAAGGAGCATTATCTCCTGTGCCAGTTGTAGACTAAATTCATTTAATTTGCTGATTTCACCCTTAGAAGTTGTTTAATGCCATTTGGAATTTTCATCTGCACTTTGCAAAGCAAATGACATAGTAAAATACATTAATATAGGCAAATATCTAATTAGGCTTAAAAAGTTAGATTCTACATGTAACAAAGATGTGTACTCTTAAGAACAAAGTAGCTATTGCTCCTTTAGAAATTCTATTAACTGTGTTCCCTCATTGTGTGAAGGAATACTTTA